TGTCCCGGGGTCATGTGATCACGTTTTGCGATCCTCTGACAAGCAAAGTCAATGGGGAAGCCAGATTCACTTAACAATCGTATTACTAATTTAACAATTGCAGTGATTCACTTAGCAACTGTGGCAAGAAAAGTCGTAAAATGAGGCAAAATTCATTTAACAAATTTCTCACTTAGCAACATACATTTTTGGCTCAATTGGGGTCGTAAGTTGAGGACTACCTGTACTGAAATTCCATTATCCCATTTCAGCAGAAATGTACTAGACATCCGAGGTTCGAGGTTCATTTTATTTATATGCCGCCCTATTCCCTGAGGGACTCAGGGCGGCTCACAAACCCAAAGGGAGGGGAGAGGTAAACACAAAGAAACTACAACAGAAAAGGTACAGGGGAATTCCCACTGACTACTACTTAAACTTTTATAATTATAACTATTTGCTCTTTTAAAAGCGTTATGGTTTTTTTTTACCATTGAGTCTATTACATACATGATTCACCCCATGGATAACAGTGCTAGGACTACTGCTGGCTGTAGTGCTTGAACTTGACCGAGGTTGGTTATTATCTTGGGAATTCTCACTGTCTGGAGCCTGCTCATCCATATCTGCTGAGTATTCCTGGAAATCATCAAACTCAACTTCACTTGCATCACCCAAAGCTGCATGAGTTAGTGGGTCCACATCTGCAAGAGATGTTAGAATATATATATATGTATTATATACTCTGTTTCAGCTCAACACAAATCTACAGTGGCCGAATCACAAGTAATTCAAGAAAACCACTCACTAAATTGTTAAAAGTATAGGAAGACAGATTCCATCCAACAGTAGATAAAAAAAACATGTTAACAATAAGAGCAGTTCAAAATGGAACTAGTTATTCAAAGGAAACAGGACTGATTGAAACAAAGGGTAAGCTCTGGTGGTGATGTCTTTATTTGAATGCTTTCATTTGGCTTTCTGAACTGAACAAAGGGTTAGAGAGTTGGCCTCAATGACTTGTTTCTGTTCAATGTCTCTGTGACAAAACATTGCAAGTGTCACATGCAGGAAAATCATACTCCCCCTCCAAAGACATTTCTGAGTAATTTTATGATCCCATGTAATGATCTTTGTGCTAGAAGATTTATACATTTTATGGACAAAAGCAGTCAATCTTTTGTCTTTTAAAATATAAAGATACCTTTGAGTAAAATTTGATTCCTGATGGCACTTATGCAGATTCATGGTAGCCTTATGGAAATGACTTACTACACTAGCTTACGACCCTGGGATTTCCAAATGACTGCTCAACCAACTAGTAACACAGTCAAACTTCCTTACCTTTCAAGGTTAGCCAAGCTTAAATCAGTTTTTACCTATGCCAAATTCACATTCTTGACTGTTATTATAAAGATGTTATTGTTTAAATCCAACAGATGACAATGCTGCAGAAAAATGCACAGGAAGTGTGCAACCCTTTTAGTTTAGATTATTAAATATTTTTCATTACCACCTAGTGTGGTATTATTCTAAAGTAGCTTTTGAAGCAGCAATATAGTTTATTCAAATCCTGCTTGCTGAACCTGTCTCAAAAGTGGTTGCTAGAAAAATCCTGACTTACTTGATTCCAGTGTTTATGGGAAGCTATTAGGATTTTTGTGATGAAACACCACCAATGTGTAGATAATTTATACCCCGTTTCCCCCAAAATAAGACTTCCCCAGATAATAATCCCAATTGGGCTTTTGGGCGCATGTGCTAAAATAAGCCCCCCCCGAAAATGAGCCCTCCCAAAAAATATTGCAACACAGCAGCAGCCATGAGGAGACAACTCTCGCCATCTTCTGCACCTCAAAAATAATAAGACCTCCCTGAAAATAAAGCCAAGTGCTTATTTCAGGGGTCAAAAGAAAATAAGAAACATAGTATTCTTCTTTTTTTCTTCCATGAATCACAAGATGTGGAATTCCTAAACAAATGGATGCTTAAAATTTTGTAATGGAACAAGGTGAAACTTTAGACAGAATTGCTAAAGTGTACTCTGGTTGTGGCTTTATCTGTAGAAAATATTGTTTGAAGCAAGTCACAAACTTCAGCTTTTTAAGGGAAAAAAATATGCTACATATATACTGCAGCAGATAATACACTACAAACTGAAGTGTTGTTCTAGAAGGAAAATGTTGCAAGTTTGAAGTTTGGAGAAGAAAAGCCTGTGGAGGAACATGATAATTCTCTTCAAGTAACTGAAGATTGCAAAGTAGAAAATTAGCAGGATTTTCAAAGTTGCAAATGGTTTAAATTATATAAATACAGATTCTGGTTAAACATTAGGAAACATTTTGAAACAATAAAAGCTATTCAGTAATGAAAAAACCTCCTTGGGATATGTAAGACTCTTTTTCACTGGAAGTGTTTAAATTATTGGTGGCTATCTATCAGTGATGGTACAGTAATGGATTTCTGCAGTAGACAGGGAATTAACCTAAATCTTCAAGATCCTTTCTAATTCTTACTGTCCATTATTCTATTATTTCATTCCATTCTATTCTTCCCCAAGCAAAATAAACACAACAAAGAAACAAAATGTCATGTGATGCTGCCGTGGCAACACGAGTATGATACCCCTGGCCTAAGCCCTATAACTATATAAAGAACAAACACATTACAGATCAAGGGTACTTACTTGGAGTATCACCATTGATATCACATTTCATCATTTCACTAACAAAGTCACCAAGGGATGAATAAGAAGAGCTGGAGTCATCATAGTCCACACTGTCACTACCACTATTGCAAAGGAAAAAAGTAGGAAAAAATATGTAGAGATTTAGCAGAATTTTTTATCATGGATTTTTATAACCTTAGTTGTACAGAGAGCATTATTTCTTTGGCCAGGTATCTCTTCCTGCCACTAATAGCCAGATTTCAGTCTTGATTTATCACTGTGGCAGGAGGATCTGTTCTGCCTTCCAGACCAGACTGGAAAAGCAGGTTTTTCTCAACCCCATTACAATGAAAGGATGGGCAAATGGAACTGAAAGGATGAGCAAAACTATGTTCTGTGGCAAAATTAAAAATTATGTGGGATTAAACAGGCAGTAAGTAACCCCAGTGGTAAAAGGAAACAGTAGAGGAATTCCTAATATAAATCACTGTCATGTGTATGGCACAGGTAGAAAACATAATTCTAATTTTGCAAGAAAGAGAGAGAAAGAGGAATGCCCAGGACAACTCAGAAAATAGAAAATAGCATTTTCTCCTGTGTCTCATGGAAAGCATCCTCAACTTATCAAATAGTGTCAGATTAGGATGGAATCCCCAAAATAACAAATTATTTCCGTATCTGCAACTACTACTTTTTTGGAGAATAATTGCCAAAACTACTGATGTAAAAGTGTATTTTTTCAAATGGGCAATTCTCAGGAAGTGTTCACTACTTAACTATATATGGAAATAGATGGCCCTGGAGCTTGCTGCCCCTTTCAGATCTGTTTCCCAAAGGCAACATAACCTCATGCTATATTCCTCCAGAAACAAAACAAAAAAGATAAATTTTCTCAATTATATTTTCAATACAAAGAAAAAGAAGACAATTTTCCCTTTTGCAAGGCAATATACTTCTGAGAGCAGCAGCTCAGAACTTAAAAATATTAACAGCTGTACCATTTTAAACCTTTTAAAAGAAGTCCAAAATAACATTAATATTCTCGAAGCAGTGTGCCTTATCCAAAATTCAACCTAGGAAGATTCTTCCTCTTGTGCTGATAATAGAGTTCCTCATGGAACTAAAACTCTTCTTTCTGAATAGTTAACTCTCTTGGTGAAGATATTCACTTTCCAAAGAATCAATCAATTTCAGTTGCCACCAGCCTTCTCTCTGGGTCTTCTGCCTACAGCTTTCATCCTCTGCTATTATAGAAGCTAACTTAAAACAATCCATAGTTGCTTTCAATTTTTTATCATAGCTTCTATCATTCTTTTAAGCATTAAAAAATATAATATAATTGATTCCAGATCTTTAGTATCTATTCAGCACTGACTTTTTTGCATTGTTCTCTCATACTTGGTTGAAACCTTGAGAAATTCCTGATGTTTTGACACTCAACTTACACAAGGCTACAGAAATCATGCTTGTTACAGGGCATAATTCTGGTCACTACCTCCATCTTTTCTCTATGATTGATATAAAAAGCGAGAAAATTCTTGCAATCAACCCCCCAATGAATGCCTGATTGAACTTTACTGTCAGGTCAAGAGTTTATGGTTTTATACTAAAGATGAGTTATGTTTGGATGTAAAATTTTACTCATTGTACAAAACAAAAGCAAAATTATGGGAAAATAGAAGCCAGAATGATCACAAAGAATGCAATAATAGGCCCTAGTAGGTATAAAGGTAGTGCTCAATTTACAACCATATTTGAGCTCAAACTTTTTGTTGCTAAGTAAGAAATTTGTTAAGTGAGCTTTGCCTCATTTTACAACTTTTCTTGCCACATTTGTTAAGTGATTCACTGCAGTTGTTAAATTAGTACAATGGTTGTTAAGTGAATGTGGTTTCCCATTGACTTTGCTTGTCACAAGATCGCAAAAGGTGATCCCATGACCCCAGGACATTGCAAACGTCATAAATGTGAGTCAGTTGTCAAGCATCCAAATATAAATCACATAACCATGGGGATGCTGCAATGGTCATAAGTGAGAAAAGTGGTCATAAGTCACTTTTTTCAGTGTCACTGTAACTTTGAATGGTCACTAAGCAAACTGTTGTAAAGTCAAGGATTACCTGTATTATGCTTTTGGAACCAGGGAAACCTTTTAAACGTCTCGAGCTTTAAAAGGCTTTTCAAGAATTCTAGATTTGATACTTTTTTGTTTTTTCATCTATATTTTTAATGATATTTGTTATAAATTATCTGCAATGTGCCCTGGAAACTGATGCTGGAGACACATAAATTAAAAAAAAAATTCTTACAAAGAATTATAAAGTTCACTGAAGATTTGTTCCATGCAGTTGCATTCCATTCCTTACTAACCTATCATCAGTAGGATCTGAATCTGTTTCTCTGTCAGCTGGGACATTCATTGCTTCAGCTAGCTGAGAATTGCTGTCATAGACACGATAATGGATTGGCTGCAGCTGATGAGCATACCACTTTGGCTTATCACCAATCAGAGCTGGGTCAAACATATCTATAAAAGCAGCAAGAAACAAGTAATGTGCCTTATGCCAATTGCAAAAATACAGTTACAGAAGTTACACGAACATTCTAAAAACCCAGACAAAATATGGAAAATAACAGGATTTCAGGCCTGAAATAATCATTTTTTATTTTTATTGGGAAAGCAAATTCTTATACTAAACAAATCTTATTTGCTCTTAAGATAAAATCTGAAAACATAGTGGTCAGTTAATTTCTTGGCAGTATTTTGCATTGGAACATCCCCCATTAAAATCAAAGACGGCCACCAATTCATGATCACACTTACTGTTGTGGATTCTTTGGAAAGCATAATTAGTGGGATTGAGAGACCATTCCCCAAAGTATTCCACTGCCTGTGTCTTGGACAATTTTTCTGCAAATTGTGTCTGTTTTGGTCGTGAAGCTAAAAAGGAATTGGCCTGAAATGCAACCACGGGGCGGGGAAAGAGACGAAGTGTGCGGGTATGCATCTGGAATCCATGTAAAACATTTGGTGAATTGAAGAATCTCACCATAGCAACCCTTTAAAAAGGAAAAACAGGTCATTTAGCAACTAGCATGAAAACTGAAAAGACGCAGCACGTTCATGATTCACCAAAAAAATAACTGATGATGCATCCCCAATAAGAAAAAAGCAAATGAATAAGTTTGTTCATACTAACAATCACTAAATTGACTCTAGCCCCCAGGATATCAGCATATCAGAAGCACTTCTCAACCCTCAACCTACTGTGTTCATCATATTGGCCACTTTTTCTAAAACAAAATTATGAAGTGAGCTGCAGTTCACAAAAGCTTATGTTGTTGAGTAAGATATGCTAGTCTGAAAAAATGCTACTAGGTTACTCCTGAATTTTGGTTAATATAAACTAATATGGCTGTCCTAAAATGTGAGTAATATTTGTAACTTTCTTTGAAGAACCTAAAATATATTATGTAAATATAAACTATTTTAATATCTTAAATCAAGGCATCTGAAGGAAGTTACCAATTTTGTAACAGCTACACTTACGAAATAGGCATATTTCAGAGAAGTCATATAACAGCTTCTGCACAAACTATACATAAACAATGTATTAAGCATGCTACTTAGTACTGTAGATCATCACAAGAAGATCAACTGTTACAATACGTTTATCTAAATATTAGATATCTAATATTAGATATTAGAATATTAGACATTCACAAGGCAGAGCATCTGCTCTTCCCACCTAACTGGAAATTTATTATTTACATTCAACCAAAACACAAAGCTTCATCTCACCTAGTGGCCACATCCACCGAATCTACATCATTGCCATAGATCAGTGGGTTGAACTCTGTGGATGGTGTGGATTGCAGGTCATTCTGCTGTCTTCCCAGAAGCAATGGGATTTCTTGACTTTCATGAAACTTTTCTAGGTTAAGAATAGGCTGGGTATTCAAACTCATGCTGGCCAAAGCCTGAAGAGCAATATGTTACAAACACAATAAACGAAAATGTCATTGCTAATACAGCTCTGTTTCATGGGCAAAACACAAGCTGAATGTGATGTTTCAATATACCCTTGGATCATCTGAGACCTCTTTCAGGTTTTTTTAATGGAAATAAGAATAAACTTAATCAATCCTTCCTCTGCTTAATTGCTTATCTTTTCTTACATTTGAATAAACAGAAAATAAAAAGAAGGAAATGCACAAACTCCTGTAAATGTTCTTATACTAAAAAATTGCACGCAAAACATTCACAGGATCAATTAAATCTAATCAGAAATTGCATTTTTTAATTTACCATTTTACTTACTAAAGCTGGTTTAGAATTTAACTGAAAATCTTTGTAATGAAATGCTGTGAGATTCATTTATTTATTTAAGAAACTATAAAACACTCCAGGCTCAATAGCCTTGGAAAATAAATCAAGAATAATCTAGAGTTTAAATTCTTCTTTAAACATATTGTAAGAAAAAATATTGGGAAATGTTATTTTATGAACTTGGCTACATAAGAAAAGATACATGAAATGTAAAATAAACCCTATCAATAGTATTTTCCTATGTTCTAAAATACAAAAATTATATTCTACAATTTTATTTAAAAAGGATCAGGGGGTGGGAGGGGGAACCTTTGAGTCAGTGTTGAGTCCTGACAGATCTCTGGACTAGCCCTTGTGGATTTTTTTTTCCATCTTAAGTATCCAATGAACATATTTAATGCTCCTCCTTTCTCCTACTTTCCCTACAACAACCCAATTAGACAAGTTTAGCTGAGAGAAAGATAGTGACTGGCCCAGAGTCATGCAGTCTGGTTTCATGCCAAAGGCAAAGCAAGACTCATAGTCTCATGATTTCTAGCCTGGTGCCTTAACCACTATACCACACTGGTTATAAAAAAAGGACTTATTCTGCAATAATTACCAATAATAGAATATGATCCCAACTTTTAAATTTCAGAGTCTTTTGCACAAACTCCCTGCTGAATATGAATGTTGGATTCAACTTATAGTTTCAACTTAAACTGTTTTAAAGCATAGATACCAGATAACTTTGGACTATCTACTTCCAAATCAAGTTAAGATCATCCATTTAGATGGATGCACACACCATCAGATATAAGATAAGTGGCAATAAGAACTTTTTATCTGTTGGGAAATATACTCCGAAAAAAAGCACCTCTAGATTTTTCTTTTTAGGAACTTATTTAAAAAGTTTTTCCCTCCAAAACGTAGGTGAGATGGGTAGTGTAGAAACTTGACAAACAAATAAATAAATACTGTTTGATTTAAAGGCATAAACTCCTTCAAAACAAACTTATGTATTATTAACGTATCTTTATTTACTATTTTTATTTTAAACATTAGAAATTACAAGTTTTTAGGTTTAGGTTTAGGTTTATTAGATTTATATGCCGCCCTTCTCCCAAGGACTCAGGGCAGCGTACAACATTAAAAGAAA